AATTAAGAAACTCACTATATCCAAGTTCTTTGTGTTTCGAATATTTATTTTCAGTGTTGTGTCAATTTTCTAAATTAACCTCGTTTTTTAACAGTTTCAGGCGAAGCAGTGTAGAGCAGCTTGTTTTGTGGTCTGGCAGCCATCTAATCTGAAATGGGAACTATTTAAAGTACTTGTCAGACAAATATAACTTTCTCTTGATTCTAGATGAAGGGAAGTGGCTTTTATAGTGAGTAATCTTACTACGATGGCAAACTTCAGAATCACTGTACTTACGAGTTAGCAGCAGTTGAACTAATTGAGTATAAATGGAAAAGATTAATCTCTTACAAAAATACAGTACACTATTTGAAAGTTAATGGCAGTTGTCATACAGTAGAAAACTGCAGATCTTGCTTTAATTAATTGAATGCATTAAGTGTAAACAGAGTCACTCAGAAGTGTCTTCTGTCTGTATATGTATAAGCCAATTATAACACTACTCTTGTTGCATGTTAAATATTTTAAAAACTTGAGCTGATTTTTCTGTATTTCTGTAAACTATGCTATACCCATTAGCAGACCTTTGTCCGCAGCTGACTGAATCTGTGGACATCAGTTGTCATTGATCCAGTTTAGGTCTTTCATAATTATAGTCTAGAGGTAGCTCTGACCAACCTCAGTGGAAGCCATTAAACTTTACCTTCTTACAATAAAATGCCTGTGATTCTTCCTTTTAAGAGGAATGTAGTGTTTCACTTGTATAGCACACCAGCCCAGATAGGCGCTGAGAACTGTCTATAAGTCATAGAAAAGTGAATTTTACTATTGTACAAAAAGCTATTATTTGCTTCTTAGAGCAAAGCCAAAAAGTGAATCATATGACTCACTATCACTCAACCAAATTGGTGTTATACACCTGTTCAATGGATATTCATACAGACATGCCATTCATGCTCATAGTTTTTAAATATTTGTGAAGTATGCACATGAATTTAGGGTTATCTGACTAAAATTCTGATTCACTGAGATTTAAAAATATTACCTTACAAAATTAGTTTTTATGGAAATTATAATTAGAGTAATAGTAAGAGTGTGAAAGAGCAAATTGTTCTGTTCTGCCGGTAGATCATTAGAAAATCTGTCTGCAGAATTCTAATTTCACAATATTTATTGGTAGTGGTGGTGTAAGTATTGTGTGCAGCAGAAGGAGCTCAGCTTGAATGTTCAGATCCCAGATGGAACTTGAGCTGCTGGCAGTTTAAAAAGTCTATATTTGACTTACAGATTCCTGCAAATGTTGATGCAGAGAACTAACCATGGAACAAGAAGAAATCAAAAAACTGGAAAAGTAGAACTGAGCTGAATATATTACCTTCCATTTCAGATAACGTTTTCTTCACACTGCTGATGTCTGACTAGCCGTTTGACATGTCAGGGTATACTATGGCTTCTATACCTGAGGACAGGATGCTATTCATGCAAGTAATTAGTTTGTAGAGTTCTTCAATGCATATTAAGTCTTATTTATTAAGGCGTGAAATACCATTTTTTATGTCGAGACCTACAAAAATCTTTAATAAAATTTTCATGGACATATAAGAAGAAGGAATTGATGAAACAGATTTCTAGACTGCTGCTGCACTGGCACTGTTGTTAGCTGTTCTTAATCTGACTGCCCATGTACCTTTTGGTTTCAAGGCTTTGGGACTTGTAAGATTTTGAAACACTCTACTGGGATGTAAAGGTTATATCAGTTTACAGAAAACATCATATCTGCTACTATACATAGTAGGAAAAAAACCCTGCAAAATGGATGTATTGAGGGATTTTGAAAGAACAAATGAAAATGTACCTTATTTTGCTATAGTTCATTTACTACATAAAACAAAAAGCAGTTATGATATCTATTTAGAAAAATAATACAGTGTTGAAATATGGCATTGTGACATGATTCTAAGAATGCTAAAGCCATGTCTACGGTCTTCAGTAAATGCATGTTTAAGGGTTTGGGATAATGTCCAGGGCAAATCTTTGCATTGATTTTCACTTGACATGCAGATTAAATTCACAGAACTAGTTTGAATCATATAAATGTATCCCAAACCAAACTTGGATTAGGTTATCGTCTTTGAATACTTAGTTTTACTTTCTCTGTAGATCACCCCAAATTATTTCCATATAATTCTACGTAACATCTGCTATTATCGATAAAGTACTAACTGAGGTAATTTAGTCTCCTGGGCAGTCACCTCCCTTCTGCCAGCCATGCAGAAACTGAACCAGGGAAAGCAGAATTCACTCCTGGGGGTGCATTTTGTTTGAGGATTCCCAGAGGCCTCTTTTTATGAGAGAAGTGACTGTTTCTCTTATGTTGCCTTTTGAGGAAATGGGAGGAAGAAATACATATTCCATTTTGTTCTATGAAAAAGTACCACTCCAAGTATTATTACTGTGGCTCTGTATGTATGTAGGCCTCCCTGTTGGAGGAAATGTGTATGGTGCTGTGTGTTTTGTCAGGAGGTAACACTGTGAGAGAAGGTAGACTGCAAAAAATACAAAAGAGGATTGAAATGTCCTGAAACAAAATTTATACAGTAATAAAGAATGAGAAAGAAAGAAAAAAGAGAAAGAGGTATACAATGTACAGACAGGAAGAATGACTGAGCAAATGAGCATTCTGAATACACTTAGGGGGAAACAAAACAAAAGGAGAGGGCCTGATGACAAGATAGGAAATTACAGATGAAAGGTAAAGAATATAAAGATGAGGGAAAAGAGTTCTTGCATACCTGGAAGGCTGCAGCTGGAAGCAAGTGGTGCTTTGTAGAATCCTTAAAAAAAAAAAAGTGAAATACAAATTTGTCAATGGAATCTCACTACAGATTAGGGCATATAAGACTTTAAGTTAGCCTTATGCCTTGGCATGTTTCATCTCTACCCTGACATAACATGTACAGAAACCATCCAAAAATGTGCTGCTTGTCATGTGTGATTTCCTACTTTTGTTGAGAACTTGTTCCCATAGCAACATTGCTATCGTACTATAGCCTAGGTATGTAAGTATAGCAAATTAAATTTACATTTGTATGTGTGCACATACTCCTGTTTTCCTGAATAAACACACACACATATTGTGTGGATATTCAGATGGCATATTGAGTGTATCATTTGGAGCCCAGGACGCTTGGTTGGGATCTTTTCTCATTCAGACATAAATGCATACAATAGCTTCATGGAGAAATACATTTAAATAATACCACAGACCTTGAGGCTGCAAGACCTAAACCTATAGATTAATTCCATAATTAGCTGTATATTCTGAAAACATATTTTTGAAGAGAAGAAATATTCTGTGGAAGTATATTATGTATTGCACCCCCTAAATACTGTCTGTTTCCAAAATTTACATTTAACTTATGTATATATAAGTTACACCTTGAGTTACAAATGTTGTGATAACCCAGTTTCAGGTTTGTACAGTTCTACATATTGGATTGTTTTGATGGAGAACTACACTGTTCTGTGATCATGCCTTGTAAGCATTATAGTTGTACTTTTTTCTAAATAATCTAATCAGGGTTCCCTGTATGGTAGGTGTAGAAACCATTGTCATTTTACATAGCTGAGAGAGTTAAATTGGGTATTTTAAAAGGTAATTGCAGCGACGGGGTTGTGGAGCTAGAATTCTAATGCGAGTGTTTGGTGTTACTGAGAATGCAAAGTGTGTTCAGCAGTTCCTGGTCCAAATTTAAGGTACAAAAACAGCAAGCAAGAAAGTAACAAAATAATACCCAGTAAGCTTAGAGGGCAAAAATAAATTTTGTACCAGCTCTCTTCCTTCATGTATTAATGGGAAATATAACAGTAGTATGCAGTAGTCGGAAATGTAGTATGCTGCAACCGTCTTATACTTGAATTCACTTGAATACAGTGCAGCTGTAGTTCCACATCTTTTTCCAGCTCTTTCAAAAGCTACTGAGTGTTTTCATGTAAGTATAGCAGCTGCCCAGGAACAGCTTGTCCCTACTGAGTTTCAGTTTTACCATGCAAAACAGACAGTTGTTTTTCAGCAGCTGCAACAAAAAGAGTGCATTATTTTCCCATAGGTGAATTTAGTGAAGTAATTAACCAATCATTAATGTGCCTTTTTGATGGTCTTACATAACAGCTTTGGATGCTTTAAATGATCCGTACTTCATACAGTACTTTGAAATACACTATTACATTTGTAGAAGGATAGGGTAAGATGTATGAATTTTATTGAAGCTTAAGGCTTTCTGCATCTGATCAGTTCTGAGTGTTATGCTTGATAGCAGTCATGCCAATACATATTTCGCAGCTTAAGTGGCTCCCTGACTATTAATTCTCTTACTCTTTTTCCCCATTATCAGTATTGTTTAAGGAACTGCACTGTCATAAAGAAAACCAGCAAGAATAGGAAACAATTGTCCTCTGCTTCAAGCTTTAGGTGATGTGCTAACATTCTTTTGGTATGTACAAGGCAGTAGTGATAGACTGGTTTTATATATCTGCTGAAGAGCAGATAAGTTCTGTGTACTTTTGTAACAGTTAGGGTCTGAGTTGGGTATAAGTCTCTTTCTTTCTTTGTAACTAAACATTGTAACAGACTCTTAAAAGAACTGGAAGCTCTATTGATACAGACTTGTAAAAACTAAATTACTTAAATAGCTGCTGTAGATAATTTAGGTGTATGTGATGTAGCTTCCTTGGAAGAGGAATGTAGATGGCTATTTCCTGTCATTTTCCTGGTTTTCTATTATTCTGACATTTTTCCTGAAATGCAGTTTTAGACTGTACCCAAACACTACATTTTAGTGCTAGCCATAATAGCTGCTGATGTAATATTGCTCGGTAATTAAGTGCTTTTCTTTGAAGGTAGGGAGATAATAACTTTTTAATACATTTCCTTTTTCTGGAAAGAATTATTACTTGATCCAAGAGAATTAGGTGGTGGTGGTGGGTTTTTTTAACTGTGTATATACATTCATTTTTTTTAGCCATTGACAAAGAATGAGAAAACATGAGATGGAACATACCAGAAATATGAATAAAGGAAGAGGAACTGACTGATGTGCTGCAAAACCTTTCAAGGTAATTTATCAACCTTTCTAAAAATATGTGATTGTCAGCTATGGTATGAGACTCCTTCTTTAACAGCTTATTTCCAAGTTGAAGGAATACATTGAACCTACTTTTAGATTTATAAATCCAACAGATTTTTAGTTATCACAGTTCGGTCACAAATTGAAATATTTGAGGAAGTACTGTTCTAAATATTAGCTTAGATTTTTAGAAAGTTATTTTAGATTAAAAAGCATGGTTAGTTTGAATTCTGCTTCTGTCTAGTGCCTTATTTAAAAGAAAAAAGACATGGCTGGCAGATTTTATTTAGGTGTGATACAGAAAACAGTATATGTGGGGAATTACTCACATCTTACTATAATCTTTTTTGGAATAATATTGCCCTGAGCAACCAATACTTAGGAGATACTGTAAACCATTTAATATGAATAAACATTGATATTTTTTTAAAGTCCAAGCATATAATGAGCCTTAAAATAATGATTAAAATACATAAAAGCGAATTGTGCTACTTAATATAAAGTTAAAAGAACCTACCAGACACTGTGAGTTACTAAGTTACCTGCTGTTTGCCATTCTCTGTGCAATGTCTTAGAGTATATAAGTGTCTCTTAATGAATGTGTACTAGTGGCTCAGAAAAAAATGCCATGGGAGGTAGGTTTTTTAAGCTACCAAAGAAGTCTGAACTCTCCTCCTAACTGCATGAAGCACAGGTATATTCTTTTATTACATAAATTATTAGAAGTAAATTACCCAGTCCTTTGAATAATTTGCTCTACTAATAAAGAATAAACAAGTGTATGTAAGTTGATTCTAGCAATTCTTCAAGATACGGTTGTATGTCTGAGGTAACATTTCCATAGAAACCTCTTTATTTGCCCTGAACTAAGGGAGGCCATCCAACTTTGGTAGAAAAAAAATAAAACCAAAAAGCATGAATAATGCAGTACTGAGTATAACTTGTGGTTACACTTCAGCATTTTCCAATCCTCAGTTTCTAGAGACATTAGCATTGCAATCTGCATACATTTTTGAATGCAGCAGCACTTGATTGATTAAAAGTACACCAAGATTCTAAACCACAGCATATCACAGTGGAAACCAGGCTCAGTAATCTGTGTGATGAATTCTCAGAACCAGGTAAAGTGTGCAGCGTTAACGGAGAGATTTTTTGTACTGCTTTTTTTTCTTTTAGTCGGGTAATGATGAAAACATAAACGGTAGCATATGTAATAATGTAGTAATAACTGATCCAAAGCTGCAGAACAGTATTTCTCATGCCAACTTTTTATGTAAACTTGCACAAATCTCCTAACTCTGCACCCCTCCCTCACTTAATCCAGCTGTGTGTGATGATAATGCTCCCTAAGTGCCTAACGACTGACTGTAGGTCAAAGCTGAACAGACTTCTTTCTCTGATGAAAACACAGTTGGAGGGATCTCTGTTGACTCCAAAGGGAACAGGATGATATCCTGTGTTTGTGTACTGTTATATAAATGCTAAATAGATATCCAAGTCTGATTATTTTCATATACAATTTCTTACACTAAAATCTTCTAGGCTGCATCATCTACTTCTATGTCTAGCTGCATTAGGTACCTTAGAACTTTGGTTTAGTAAAGAGCAAGTTGCACAGATGCAGATCAGATAACCTATCTTGAGATGTATACCTGGTATTGTATAACAGTATTACCTTTCTAAAAGAAATTACATGAGGTGCATATTTAAGGGTTAGCAGATTGTTTCTGTAGGGAGGTGCTTGCATCAAATCAGCCCTGATCTGACAAGCATGTGTTGCTATGGCAATGGAGACTATTGAATGTTAACATACTGCTTCAGCTGTGTGCCAAATATGAATTCTAAGATCTGTGATACATATTTTAATTTTTTAAAACATATTCTTTTCCCTTCAAAAATTTATAGCAATGAACCATTTTTTTTTCTTGAATATTTTCACTGGTTGCAAGTTCACTTTGGCAAGCTTCAAACTTGCCTACAGTGTTTATAAATAAAACTAGTGAATAAAAAAAGCACAGTGTTTTTTTACAGGTTGCAGGTTTATTGATACTCATATTAAAACCCATAAGCTTATATATTATATCATAAACAGCTGTAATACAATTCTTTGTAAAACATGTTAAAAGGCAGCAAAGTTGGCTTTGCAGTAATGATGTTCCGTGTTAAATTTAAAACCAATATTGTCTGTAAGCTGTGTTAACAGTCTTTATACAATGAACCATTTATTTCAAGTTAGCTTATTTGTCTTTCATCCTTTGCATGACATGATAAATAAGTCTCTGCTAAATAACAAAATATGACTTGAGTGTTTTTAGAGAAAAAAATTAAAATTACCCTCATGTAAATGAGACATATACTTCAGGTTTTTTCACCCTGCCAGTGTTGCTGGAAATGTCTAGAAAGGCAGGAATTTTTGGGCACTAGTTCTAAACAATATCTCTTCCCTGAAAATTGATGTAAATGTTCTTTGAGCATTTGAATGTATTAATTCTTAAACACTGTCCTTGAAGGTTATGTTAAGGGAAAAAATGGATGGCTTTTGGTGTCTGAATACCACAGTCCCTTTTACATCCAATAGTCTACTGCAAACAAACTGGATTTCAGTAGACAATTTTGCTTTGTAGGCATTTCCGCAAGATAGATTTGCTTGATTCTGTGCAAAGCAGCTTGACTTTGCAGTCTCAGAAATACATGCTCCATTCTTTGCTCTGATAATGAGATTAAGTGCTTGGTATTTTTTTCCCTTTCCTTGCTTATTCTTTTTTGATTTTGTGTCTACTCATTTCCCAAATGATGTAGAATTCTTTCATTGTATACACATGAATCCCACCACACACCTACTTCCTGCCTGGATTCGTTGTACACAGAGCACCCACAAATAAAATGTCTCCTTCTACAACTACCATGCATGCCCCAGTAAGAGGATGTGCCTCAAAAGGCCCAAGATTTTCAGTTCTAGTGAGAGCTGTATTTGTATTAACCTCACTTCATGTCATAAATCTTTGACAGGTGGGTTAAAGGTCAATTTTCCACATTTATTTTCAGGGATTGCTTTGTAAACCATCAAGTGCAAAGGCTGTAATGATACTAGTTACCATGATTTTGCTGTCAGAGCTAATCTAGGACAACGGAAGTTTGTAAAGAGGGGGTTTTTTTGTTCAAAGAGGAGATTAATAAAAAAGACTGTGCTTAAATGTGGTTTCAGTAATTTCATTATCTAACAAAAGAAAATAATTTTTGATCTGGGTTTACACCTAATATACACAGTGACTACAGACAGCATTACCCGTTACCCTCCACCTCCAGATTAACTATGCAGCACAATTACAATAGAAACTAATGATTGTCTAGATTTCCTTTTGGGGCCTTGCTGGGAGACAGCAGTTTTTAATTTTTTCAGAACAAATTATTTTTTATCTTAAAATGAAGGGAAGAATTGGATCATCAGCCAACCTTAGGAGCCCTATGTTAATTTCTAGAGTAAATTAGATTATTAAGAATTTTATAACTTTGCTTTCTATTCTTCAGCAAAAGCGGTAAGATTGTGTGCTTGATAAACATGTTCACTGTATCAGGAAAAAAATATAACATACAGCTTTCCTGGTCTAGTTTCCAACTGCAGAATATGATAGCAGCACTTAGATATGGAAAATAATTTGTAAAGCAAAGTAGCAAACATCAATCTTTATAAATATATTCTTGTCAGTATATTCAACCTGTCTTAATCCATGCATTACATATGCCAGATCATCTTCTAGCTGGCAGTTACATGAGGAAAATTTAGTCAGTCTGAGAAGGAATACCTTAGTTTCCATGGAGCTACTCTAGTCTTTATGAACATGTTCGTAAGTTAGAACTGTACTGTAGGTAGAAAAGCAGCACTGAAATAAATGGGGAGCAGAAAGGCTGTGTAAAAATACTATGAAGAAGAAAGAAATTAAACAGTAAAGAATTTTTAGCTTTAGGTACTTCGCTGGTAAATACTTCTACAAGAGTGAAGTTATCGTCAGATCATCTTGTCAGGTACATAAATATTTCTCTCTTAACATCTCTGGATTTTATTTGTGAAGAGTCAAAGACATTGCATGTTATTAGCAACATAGAAATAAAATATCAATAATTCCTCAGTCATTCTTTTCTATTTTGTAGTTTTCTGTTTATGGTGCTATATTGTGCCCCATTATTTCTGAGCTAGCCCTCAGGTATAGGGTAAGAAAGTTTTCATCAGCTCATAGGCTCATATGCCTGGTCCTACCAATTCCCAATGAAAGAATAGAAGAACTTCATCTACTCTCCTCCTTGAGTTAAGCATCTCAGTGAGTGGTATTCCTAGTAAAAACACCACCTTCCCCTCAAAATCCCAACTAACCAAAAAAACTCTTGAGCTCAGCAGCAACACAGTTGAGGGACAGCTTGATTAAACAAAACAAAACAAAAAAAAAACAACCAAACAAAAAAATTTCTTCTAACAGAGAATCACCATTTTTATAGTGGAATGTGAGAAGTAGCAGTATTCTCATTAGCTTTGCAGATTTCAAGATGCCAGTTCTCAGTGGTCAGTCGTCTTTGTCAAAAGGCAATTGCGTCTGACTGGACATTCAAATCAATTGACTACTTCAGTCAGCAATCACGCACCCAACTGGTTTTGAACTAATTGAGTCTCCCCTACAAATCAAATTATAAATAAAAACAGTATCATCCAGGGCTCATTAAGAGTATAATTACTAGTTTGGGAAACATCTATAATGAAACCCTGCCATTCTAGAACTGCAGTTTAAAGCCACAAGCTAATTTTAAAGCATCATGTAATAAGTCTCTGGAATAAATGTAGCTCTTTCAGGCAGAAGTTTTACAGATTACCAAAAATGAAGAATTCAGTAACAAATCATAAGACATGCTTTCTTCTATACTTGACCTGTTATTTCAGTGCAAGTCCAACTCAGTGATCAGAATTGACGGTAAAGTTAATGAAACTTTTAAATGTAGTAAGCTCTGGTTTGAATTTTGTGTAAAAGGAGAAAAGCACAAACACACAAATTTGGAATCAATTGTAAGTGCTTAAAAATGCAGTCATTGGTCAAGGGTATAAGTACAGTCTTTCCAAACAGCTCACTTTGATTCTTTTGTTGCTCTAGAATCATGTAGACACACAACTATCTTTCCCTTCTGTAGCTGTGCAGTGTTAGGATAGCTTTTTAACCAATAAACAATTCACTTGCTACCTCTTGGGCAGTTCTAACACTTGTATGAACTAAGCAGAAAAATTGCATTTCTTGCTTCATCCACTGAAAGCTTATGTTCCAATTTGTACTATATATGTGATATATAAATTACTTTCTAAATTAATATGAATAGCAATTACTTGGAACAGGTAGGCAAAAGTAGCTGTACTAATGCTGCTTGGATGAAGCAATCCTTTTCATACATTAGTGAAGATGATAATTTGTTACTGCTTTTCTATGAGAAAAGTGCCATTTTTAAAGCTCTGCACGGTGTCCCTGCCCTTATCCATAGGAAAAAATCCCTGATAAAATCTAAGTCATTGTTACACCTCAAGGCTCACCCTTGCTATAGTGCTCTTCTTTCAACCCTCTTCATCAGAACTAGGCATTTTCCAACTCCAGTTGTTGCAGCTGGTTTTAACACAAAAAAGCCATGTCCATTTTTCTACCTCTAGTTACTTTTTCTGCATTGGCCCTTACCTTCACATTTTTGCTTGACTTTCAAATATATAAGCCCTTCACGCTCTTGATTCTCTCTCCTGTTTTATGTGATCTGTAGCACAACAGTTCTTGTTGGTCTACCATAAAATATGAATGTCTTCAAATTCAACTATAGCAGAATTGTAAGTCTTTGTGAATCCTGGATAGTAACTGAGAACTGCAAGCTAGGTTTGGAACTTGCTTTGGGAGTTGGTTCGTCATCTTTCAGTAAAATTTTGCTTGTTAAATATAAAGAGAAGAGAAAGTGGGAGTAAAGACAGGTTTGCATCAAGAATGTAGCACTTCTATTCAGCCTTGAAATAACCCTGTGAAGTAAGAGTGCTTAGGAGGTAAAAACTGGAACAAGTAATTGAATACATAAAGAGCAAGGAGAATTTTTCAAGTGATTCAGTACCTTCCTCTGTGCTGAAGTTTGCCCACCCACTCCTACGTACCACCTCCTGTGGTGCAGGACATTTTAATGCAATGTGGGAGGTTAGCATACAAATTCCTCCTGACTGCATTTGTGCATAGCTGCCCACACACCTTTTGAAATAGGGACCCTTATTTAGTAAAGTTAATGAGCATTATAGCTATGTCCCAAACTACAAATGCAGTGGGTTGAAAATTACCTGTTAGATCCATTTTGAATTACTTGGCATTTCATAATTTTTAACTTTGTTACTGAGACAAGTTTGTGAACCAGCTATGAGCAGTAAGATGGAGAAAGGTGGTATTGTGCCGAGGACTGGAAAGCTAGATGCTGCACCTTGAAACAAGTACCTTGCAAAGGATGCTGTCCAGTGAAGTTAAATGTGCTCCCATGTTGATTCAGTGCTTGCACTGATGACACCCAGAGAGCTTAGGAGAAAACCGTGATTTCTCTGCAACTACTTCATAACAGTAGTATAGTAAAGATGACATAAGTCAACACTAAACGAGCAATTAACAGTTTATCAGTAAAACTTAGTGACAAGTCTCATCAGCTTCAATAACATGCATGCTTTAGGCTGCTTCACTCAGTTTTCTGTCTTAGGAAGCTAACATGTTCTACTCCCATTCGCTGAAGGCAGCCAGAGCTTTCCAGGCTGTTTTGGTGTTGTAGGTTCCTGGTTCATAACTGGAGTTCAGAGCTAATAGAGTAAAACAGATGGAATGTAAGATCAGGTCTAAACCCTACAGCTCTTATTATTTATCACAACTTGACTAATTTCAGCAGATAAAATGTGGCATTTCCTGTTTTCAACCTGCCACTTCTCTGCAAAAAAGATATTTTTATGGGTCATGTGTTTGTACATTTCTGAGAAGTCAGTCTGAGCCAGCCCATACCTTCTACTGATTAGTGAAACCAGGCAAATCAGTTTAATTTCTTAATTTACTAATTGGAGTACAGGAAGTAGAAATAAACAACAAACGATAGCAAATTAAATTGTTTCCTCTACTGATCTGAAACATTCGGAAAAAAAGTACTTGCTGAATACATGTTTAGCATTTACAAAAACCTTTTTGAAAGGATTAAGCATGACATACCTTATTCTGTTCCATTAATGTAGCTTCTTCTTAAGCACCTGATGCTAAATACTTATTCCCAAGAACAGCCCCGCATAAGCCTAAAAAGGCTTTTTCAAATGGATCAAGACTTTGATCCCAAATTCTAGCTGCTTCATTATACAGGAATTATGATTCTGTTAAACCATTAAGTGTTCCAAAAACTGTATCTAACTGGAAAATTAAATACATTTGTAATCTACCTAAAAAGGACTGGGGGTGGAAAATCATAGCAGCGATATGTCTTCTTGTGTGCCTCACTGCTTTGTGCTTTTGAAAAAACAACCATATTGCTACTATATTGTCATACTTGGTCAGGCATCTGACAGGTGTCATTATTACCTTGAAAAAGCAGAATTACTTTAAGGATTAATAAAATTTAGGTGGGTTTTTTTTTTAAGATAGATAAAACTGTCTCTACCTTTTGCTGTGGATCAAACTGTTTCCTCACCTAAACTCTATGGGATTTAATCCCAAAAGATATACATTTTTATTTACAAATTGAATCATTCACATTGATAATCAATGCATGAAGTACAGGTGATAGAATTGTCTTTCATTCTACTGTTGAGCTGAAACTGAGACAACTTCTTATTAAATGATACTCCTTTTTTAGAGATGTATACTACTGTCATGTATGTTTATGTCCTTCTTTCAGATGTACTCAGTGGTAATAAGTCAGCGATCATCCTCAGAAAGTCAATAATAAAGACAGCTGAATGAAGAATAACATGATGACCTCAGGGTCTGAGCTGAGAGATGAAATAAACTGTGATCTGCAAATGGAAGACATGAAAAAATGGGCAAAATACACTGAGGCACGTGGCCCTTATGTGAGTCTCAACTCCTTCACTAGGAATCTGAGTCATCTCCAGAGCTGAAGCCTAGGGACTAGAGCTAGGCAAGTTAGCCACCTTAAATACTAGCAGTCTGAAATGTGGAAGTCACACAGTTCAGGGCCTTCTATTAAAATTACTTTTAGATAGGTAGGGATAACAAACATTATGTCTCATTATGTCCATCTTTCTCAACGTGTAAATCTGGATTCTGTGCTGTTTGTCACAGGAAGAACGCTTAAGACACGTGATCTACAGAAGTATCTTCTGCAAATATTTGATAATTTCAGGATTCCCAGACAGCCGCAGTCTTTACTGTTCAGCAGTTCAACATCAGTCTCTGCTGGCCATGGAACTTTAAATTAATACTTGCTCAGCTGTCTGTGATGTAGGACAGTCAAGTATCAGTAACTGCAGTCCAGCTAGCTGCCTGTTTTTTCCCCATCTCTCCCAGAGTCAGAATTTTTCTTCTGCTTTGATGTAGATTTTAAAAACAAATACATCATAGCCTGACAGACATCATTCTACCAGCCCAACCTCCCACTTCCTCCTCCCGCCTTTCTGACATTTCAGTTCTTTGTTTTCTGATTTCCTGACACCTTTAAGCTCTGAGCTAAAGTCTACCTTTGCATAGGCACCCCTGCCAAGAAAACATGGATTTCTTAAACTTCATTTGCCATTATTGAAGCATTTGGTCTCTATCCAGAAGGAAACTGTGCATAACATTTGATTGTTGTCAGTTTGCTTCTGTCTGTGTGGAAGATTTTCATGCAGTGTTTGGCTTTAGAAGGTTTGTTTGAGCTTAAGGTGCTGAAGTTTTGCTAACCAATTCAGCAAGGGAAAAAAGCCTGGGCTCAGTGACAAGAAACAGGTCAGAACAGCTTCAATCGAAGGCAGAGAGGGGAATGTTTGAATCACTGGATTAGGAGCCAGACTCGACTGAGGGATTTTTAATTGGTTGGTTTCTGTTTATCTTTTCTGTTCTATATCATATTTTCTTCATTGTATCATAGTCTGGCATAGAAGTATAAATGGACGCGACAGAAGCACAGAAAATGTGAAGTGACATAAGTATTGCAGTACAATACTTACCAGAAGAATCAAAATCAAGGATGCATTATCTTCACATGGGATTAACTGCTTTGGAACCTAGAGTTAGTTCAGCAAAATGAAATTACTAACAAGGAATGTGTTATGTGGGAAATGCATTCTTTGACACACTACATTTTTGTCAAGTATTCTTTCCTCTATTGAAGTGTAGCATGCCAGCTTTGCCCTCACTCTCTAGCAGATGATTTGTTCTGTAGTCTGAAGATGGTTTAATGACAAGAGCAGTAACTCTGGTGTTAAAGGTACGCAATTAGATTCTGCATAAAGGAATTTGAACAAGTTACCTGTGTCTTTGTGTCAAATAGGGACAACAGTACTTGTCTTCATCTAGAAATTTTGCAAGAGCTCAAGACTGAAGCAGGTACAACAGAAGTGAGGATTTCACACACATAACAGATTATTACATTCTTTGCTTTATCATTTTAACCTCACTAAAACCTTTTCACACTTCACTACACAGTTTCACCTTCCAAAAATCCTTCCAGACACCTGAACTGGTAAAGCAGGGGTGACCAATCCATGTTTTGGGACCTACAGGTACATATTTTAGTTTGGTCCATGAAAGTATGTCCTTGCTATGTGGATAGGCAGGGACCTCTCATTACTGCCCTTTGCCAGCCTTGTCTCCCAGATCTGTTGTCAGATTTCACTGTCATCTTTAATCTGCTTTAGTCACAATAGTGTAAGTATTTAGTGAGATTTCCTATATTCTATCATGCCTTTTTTTTATACAGGAACAAAGAATCTGCTAGCACAGCTAAGATAACAGCAGTGTTCCTGGCTCATCTTAATCAAACTGCTTAGAGCTGTACTAGAATCCTTTGACTACCTGAGACACAGCACAGTTTCAAAAATAATAATAATAGTGATGAAAATACTTAGCCTGTAGGCACAGTATTTTCATGCAGCTTAATTTACCATCTGGCTTGATGACTCTGTGGATACTTACATTTTACACACATAAGGTGACATTTTTAGTTATACGTGCAATTGTAGCTTGGTCAATAATTCTGCCTTCCCAGAAAGGTTACTAGGTGTGAGTCAGTGGTTACAAGCAAAGTGAAAACTGAGGTATTTGTCCATTGTTCAGCAGTGCAGTAAGAAAACAGACCCAGCAGCATTTGCAGCACTTTTTTAAAAAATACATTATCTGTTTTGTACATCATAGTATTGTACACCAAGCATATTTATATATGCACTCCATGGAGTTGTTAGAGAAGAACATGTCCAAATGACAGGTTACAGACCTGTAAAATTCAACAATGTAGATACATATTTCATTGTTGATGCATAGCCACAACACTTGATGCTCAGACTTCTGACTAACTTCCAATTCGTACTTTAATATGAGCATGCAGAGTGGAGTGGATATATAATTCACTCTTCAGATTCTTTTCCTCAGAGTTTCAATCAAGCTGAACTTTCTTGCTTTTTATATCAGATGATAGAACAATCTTTGCCTTTCTACTTAAGAATCTGCATATGGACAATTGGTTCAGGACAGAAAACATTTTGTGAACATCAGACTTAGGTTTCCATTTCTCTGTAGTCCTGGATTTCTCCTATGAAATTAACACAGATGCCTTTCAACATTACTTAAAAATGGTCTGTAATTTATATACTACTGCCCTCTACTGTATTTTTGATAGAGATCATAAAAGTATCAAACCATACAAGTCATAGTTCTTGTCAGGTTCATGAGGATTGTTCGTGTCATCATTCAACCAGGCCACCTGTACTACAAAACTATAAAACAAAAAGTATTCAAAGTTCTGGGAAAGAAAATTGCAGTGTGTCTGAACCAGAACAAAAAAACCCCACAAGTATTGGTATAGTTGTATTCATTAAGGCTCCCATCTTTAATCTCCTAACTACATAAGAAAAGTACAGCATCACAGTCATGGTAGAATTAAAAGCACCCTCCAGTCAGTTCTAGCTGTTCAAATACAAATTGAAGAAAAGCCCAAAACCTGTAAGACATATGAAACACAGAACTGATACCAATAACTTCAGATTATCTGAGGTTCACAAATCTAATGCTACTGACTGCTGAAGGTATCTATCAGTACAAAAGGCAAACCTACACAAATACATTTCTTCCCTAAGAACTGAGGTTTCTGTATTATTGAACATGGCTCACATCCAGGATACATCTTGGAATAAATGGCATCAGAACAAACTAGGGGTTAATCCTATTAACTCAGTTCCCCAGGAACTGATGTTTTATTTCAGTATAGAAAATAAATTTCTGCAGGACATTAGGCACTTCAGACTTGGCTTAATTCCTCCAATATTTACAGAGCATTCAGCATACTCCTACATCACTCCTTTCTAATGGAGAATGGGCAGATTGAAGTAGAAAGACAGTGCCACCTATTTGCCATTAAAATACACTGCATTAAGATCAGATAAATAACTTCCCTTCGTGCCATCATGCTAGGGAGTGTTTTTCTTCCCCGTTCCCTTTCACCATCGTGAGGAAGCTTTGCTGTCCCTGGAAGTGGAAATAAATACTAATTGTGATAGCAGAGTCCCTGGTACACAGAAGTTTAACCCAAGCTGCAGCATATCCCAGGAGGGAAGCTACGATTTTAGATACTGTTGCCAGTGTTTGAATTCCAAACTTCCCAGTTGTTTCCAAAGTTAGATGTATGCTTCCTAAAAATTTCCATGAGAAACTGATGAAGCAGTAATAGCCTCAAGATCATGATGTCAGTCTTCAATAATTCCTCCTCATTAAAAATCCATTAACTTTCTAGACCCTCATATCTAAGACAAGATTTAAATAAACAGTGGCTCAAAGCCATTGACCACTGTGAAAATGCCATTTTGTTACAAATTAAGAATTTGTAAGCAAGCTTTACAATGACATGAAGTTGGGGAAAGAAAGGCAGAGTAGTTTGATTTTTCAGCGTTTAAGAGTGAGTATACCAATGTATTACAAAACATACAAATATTGACTAAATTTAATATAGCCCTGGAATTAACAGGAAAAAACAGGAAAAGTAAAACTGATGGTCAAGTTCTGCTCAAGGCAATGAAACAAGTTACCAGAAAGACAGGATTACAAGTATTACAAAAATTCCTAGAAGCAACATCTTGCACTCTCTCACCTCCCAAACTTTGATTACATTCAAAACTCAAGGATTACTTTGATTTGGCTTTGTTGTTCAAAATAGTTCTTTATTTTGTCTTGGATAGCTTGCAGATGCCTACCCTCAGAGGGCACAGCTGACCTTTCATATTTACCACCTGTTTGTCTTGAAAGTTTATATTTTTGGACATCCACAGCATCAGCTACCTTCATATTCATGTTTGACAGCAGCTTGCTGTCAAAGTTTAAGGCAGAATGAGAAACATAAATAGCTGAGCATAAAGAAAAGATCACTTAGGCCCCATCACACAGGCTTAACCATCCTTGTTGCATTGCAGGAGTGGGCAGCTCAACAGTGGTTGTGAAGCCTGGGTGAGAAACAGTGACTGGCTTTAATGCTTTTTTCCACTGAGGCAGCTAGTCTTTGGTGCATATGATCAGAATGCTGTTGAAGTGTAGCATATAGGAAAATAACATCTCATTTTTGGTTCCCTTAACACATCAAAAGCCATACAAGATGCAGTCAGATATTGCTGAGGTATTGCAAGAGGCTATGTATTATGGTTTTAGTTTTTTAATTTAGTTGTCAAACACTAGCAAAATCATCAAATGTTTTTCACTAGCAAGACTCAGTGCTGTGCAAACAAATGGAAGCTAGCTCTGTCCGATCACCCTGTTTTGCAGAAGCCTAGATTTCCAAGTTGCTCAAGTCACAGTAGTCAAACTCAGGCTTGTGTGTAACTTGTGACCTCCTCAAATTCATTAAGTCCATCAAAACTAATAGTCATTATAAATTGGACTGTTGAAGAATCAATCAGTAATGGAAAGCTTTTAGTTGGGTTGCTTTGTCAAAGGCGTCAAAATGTAATAGATCAAAAAATGCAAATAGAAATTAAAGTGATTCAATTTTCAAATTTCATTAGGGACTTTATGTTACTGCTGTTCATCTTAGTTTACTGTACTTTTTCACTTTTTCCAAGTTCTGAGCCTTTATTTTTTTCTCTGTATTTCATGCTAAACATTTTCTACATAAGGACATAGCTCACTTTTTTGGCATCACAAAATTTGCTTTCCTTCACATAAAAATAGTTGGGCCAAGCGTTTATGTATCCAAGTAACACAAGTACTAAAGTTCATTTGTTCACTAGACACTCTGTAACAACTTACAAGGCTACAGAAAGACATATATTTAATAATTTGGCTTTCCAGTACCCTAAAATTTAAAGTTACCTGCTCCTTTCCAGATTTTCAGCAATAGCTCTTTAACAGCCCCCATCACATGCTATGAAGTCTTGGATTAAAACCTAAATTTAAGGATTTGCTCCAATACACAGAGATCATTCTAGAAGTAACAGATTATTTTCTGTGATTGTTAGCCGAGGGTGACACTGATCCACCTCAAGCACCATTAAAAGCTGATGAAGTACAAGCAGTACTTTAAGTGGTAAGATGGGCTTTAACTGGTAACAAGCTGAATAGAACCTGCAAAAGTGCTAGAAATACTAGTATGACACCACTATTGCTTCCACATCTGCTAGGGTGGGGGGGAATAACAAACTTCAATTATTTGAGAACTAATCCCTAAAACCTGAAATGAAGATACCTTGCTAAAATATTTCACACAGGATTATTGATCACCTGTTACATGAGAAGGAAGAGTTCAGGATTGGCATATTCTGCTCTGATGCTCCGTGGTTTAGAGGTTGGCAAGCAACATCAATATATAGACAAACCATTAAGACAAACTCAACATCAATATTTTGATTAAAACATTGCATATGAATTCCTTGGATTTCCTGGGCTCATATTACATTCTGCTTTTGCCTGAAGAATGCTGATTTGGGAACTAAACCTTCCACTTAACTCATTTGTTGATCTGAATGATCACAAAATAAATTAGTCCTAAAGCAAAGGAAATGATTAAGCTAGAACTTTGGAAGAAAACTAATTCAAGCAAAAGAGAAAGTCAACATAATTTCTCAAAACTCTAATCCCATCATTAAAATAAGCATTTAAATAGCACAGTAAAATAGCATCAGGCAATATGCAGCTATAACATTGTTATTTGAAAGTTGCACAACCTGAGCTAGCACTGGTGTTACATCAATATTCTAGCATTACACAGGACACCAATCTTTTCCATAGCCTGGCATCACTCTAGCAAGCCCCCATTATCATTCTGTCCCCTCTTCCCTGTGCTCTCAGCCTGCCCAGCTTCTTCCAAGAATTGACACAGTGCTTTAGTGCAGGACTTTACCCATTTTACTAGGGAGCTGGAGGAAGGCCACATTCCCCTTTCTCCTGCAGTCATACAGGGTCAGTGAACCTGCAGGAAGGCACGAACAAGAACAGTACTGGAGCAAGATGTCCGAATCATACGGACCTAGAGCACAGAGGAGCAGCAGTCACTAACACTTATTTTGTGTTACAATTTTATTATGTAAAAAAAGTCCCCATAAGGCAAGTTTCAGCCTCACCATTTTTTTTTTTTTTCTTCTTTCTCAAAAGTTATAAGCGGTCATTTGTACCATAGGTTAGTGAAGCATCCACGCCAGCCACCAGAGGATTTACGCTTGCCCAACAAGCTTTTAGATGACTTTGATAAGGGAGATAATTTCCAGGGTTTTTTGCCCTACATAATCATTGTCTACTATTAAAGTTTCCTCAGAGCCACAATGCACTGTTTTTAATTGCAAAAAGATTGTTTCATACAACCATGAAACTGTATGGTTAACACGCATGCGTTTGTGGATCAGTTGCAAAACCAACAGTATAAAGGCAACTGCAGAAACTTAGGACACTTCAGGATCAAAATGATTACAAGAACAGAAGCATGAGGCATTGCAAGAGCTTTTTTTTTCTCCTCCATACAAGATGAGTAAGAAAGAAGCAAACAAAGAAATTGAGTAATCTCAGTCCCACATCTCCATAAGTTCAAGAACAGCTAACAGAGAACTCCAAATATACCACAAGACAGTAGATACATTTGGAAGATGAACCAAGAAGCAGTTACTGTGAGAAAATGAACCACCGAGAATCCGTTAGGAAGAAAAACAATAAGTTGACATTCCATCTGAGCAGTAAGACAACGCATTATTCAAAACAGGAGACAAACTGCATTAAATCAACTTTATTATGTTACCAAAGTTTGACAATAAAATATTCAAAAATCTATTGAACACATTCATACACAAAAAGAGCATATAAAATGCTAGGTCTCAGAATATGTTCCATACAAAATACTGTTAAGTGTAGAGCAGCAAAGTCATTGCCAAACATTCCCTGAATTTAAGAGGGCCTTGAACACACTGTGCTCCAAGAACTACCTTAATACCAAACATTCCTTCCTTTGGTCTGTAAGTCCTTTGCAATTATTGCTAGTTATTGAAGCCTTCTGTTTTTAAACAGAATCACACAGTGACTCTGAACCTCTTCAGAAGTATTACAATGACAGCTGAAGGCTTCTTCAGCATTTTCTATACATTTTGTCAAAAATAAGAAATACATTTGGTCCTCACGGCTGTTTTTGGTTTCTGAAAACATCCCAAAGAATAAAACCAAGTAAAAATTATCGAGACATGATCGATATATGTTAGGTATAACAAAGGTATGTCAGTAAAATCAAACATTTCAACTGTGCAGTGTGGCAATGCACCTGAGTTACTCCTCTTAAGTACCACATTCTCCTCTCCTTAAAGATTTATTTCTTCAGACCTCCTTCCCCACAAGACTCTAGTATGCTCAAGTGCATATGGCTCTAGCAGACCTGTAATAGTAATGCTAAATACTCTTGCCTTGTAGAGAAGCATGCCGTAGTGAGTAAGCACTTCAACATGCTGAGTGAAGTGGTTCAGTTACAACAAGTAGAATAATGTAGTTTACTTGCTGCATTCACTTCTCAGTGAGAACTCCATCCTAACATGCAAGAAGCTGGAAATGAAAGGGCTGAAGATGATTTGGTAGAAAAATCAAAACTTCTGGACATAAAACAGAACTATAGCCTGCAGAACCATCACAACCAGTCAAAATCTCACCAGAAGCACCGTGCTTGCTCTAACATGGTCATTAGAGCTCAGGTACTCATGTTCTTGCACAACAGGTTTTCTAGTGACAAACAGAAGAAAAAAAAAAAAAAAAAAAAACAAAAACCAATGCAGCCCTGAAAAATTTCCAGCTTCATTTTACCAGGTTAACTAACACAAGTTTATTTAAATAGGCACAGTCTAGGGCTAGTCTAATGGAAAGCTGGTTTACAAATCTTTAGGTTAAAAGATAGAGTCTTTTAAAAGACTAAAAGATCCTTTTCCCCTCCCCCCCCCCCCCTTTTGGGGCACAAAAAAATAGTATTAAAAGTAGTAGTAAATTTTAAAATATTTTAAAAGAGCATCTTTTGGATTCATGTATTTTGGAACTGCAAATTAAAAAGAAAGAAAAAAAAAAAAAAAAACCAAAAAAAACACCCTGAAGCTAAACTCTTGCTATGAGACTAAAAATGCCACCAATTAATGGGCAAGGATCTAAACGAAGCTTAGAAACATTCTCCAAATCAGGTTAGGAACTGTTTACCTACATTTCTCATTTTTCCAGACCTTGATGCCCATGTTGGTATCCTGCAATACAGCCTCCAGCTCCACTCATTCCAGTGCTTATTAACAGGCATTCTACTTCAGCAAGAAATACAGATTGTGATAAACTGTCTTCTGTAATTTCTTTCTGTTGTAAAACAGTAACATAGCAATTTATTCAGAAATTGAGTCAGACCACAGGAAGAGCTTTATCACCTCTGAGCAGTCTTGGAACACAAGCCTGAAGCTTATTCAGCTGACAGCCCTGCATAAAATAGAACACTTAGCCAAAGGACTTTTTGTGGGGTTTTTGTTGGTTTTTGAGCTTGGGGTTTGGGTGTTTTCCATTTTTTTCCATTTCAACAGTTATCAATTACAAATGGATTGGGGCAACTCAGTACTTACTCTGGAAATAGGCAATATTGCTGCTGAACTGTAGGTTCCTGGCAAAGCCAGGACAAGATAAATGTTTAATTAAACAACAAAAAAAAAAAAAAAAAAAAAAAAAAAAATCAGGAAAACGCGTACTCGCCCTCAACAAAACTAACAGGGAATATGCAGGGGTAAAATGAAGCTACATAAGTGAGTTAAAGCCTAAGAAGATATTTAGCTTATCCATGACCCTAGTTCAAGTTGTTCTAGATTTACAAGTAATTTCTGAATTAAAACTTAAAGCCTTAAATCTGCCTCCTGTGCCAAAATGTTTGCATTCTACAGTTACAAGAGTTCAAGCCTGTCATTTCAACACATCTTACTGATACGTTTAATGGCAGCAAACATTTTATGCACACTACCAAAATAGTTAAACACTTCACCCTTTATACAACTTCAGTTTCTGCAATGAACCCTCAATAGTTCTGATGAGTTTCTGAAACTCTTAAAACATTTTTTTTTGGAGGACCTAGCATTTTGAAAGCATTCCAAATTGTGTTTTCAGAAAGCTAAGTGCAATCTAACTGGGTGACTGGTTTCAAAGCAAGCAAAAGAAAACTCTTCGAGTGAAAGTATTTCTCCAGCAGGACTTCTGTAATCAAAGTTGCAAATATGATGGCCTTTAGACTATCATTTATGTGCAGTTCAGAGTTGAATTTTCTTCTTAAACATTTAGTAAAACAATACTGTAGGAAGTTAGAGTTGCATGTTCAGCAATTTATAGAAACATCTAAGTAACAGCATATCCCAACTTCTTGAAACAGCAATAACGGAACTTGTAATCTATGGGAAATTATTTTAGTCTTAAAGCATAGTTTCTTTTCAGCTGAATGCAATGTTGATCCAATCACTACTTGGCCAGTAACTGGAACAGAGCTTAAGTATTTGACTGAGAACAAGGTTTATACTTTACACTGTAAAGCTTCCTTTCCCCACTCCATTTCACACAGTTCATTTTTCTTTTTGAATTAATGCCCACCATCCATGACCATTTCCACTACAGGAGTTCGTTTTTCACCCAGAAATGCAATTTTGCACTGTATAAATTGTTTGCCAGTATTCAATTAGCTTTAATTAATGTGCTACTCAACACCACTACAGTAACTGCAAATACCAACCACTGTTTAGCTTCTTTCCCTCACTGATAAATAAAGCACAAGGTGAGAATTCCTCAGACTCCAGATTGTAGGTAATCAGGTTCTAGAAGTTGATAAGCAAACAATTCCTCTTTTTTTAAAAAAAAGGTACTTAAGAAGCTTCAAGTAATTCACACCCCTACCTCTTTTCCCCAAAAGCTGTAATAAAAGAAAAACCAGATTATCACAAAGGTAGTACAGTACCAGGTAGACCTCTTCCCTGTCTTACCTAGTAGATATGCACAGTTACAAACTAAGGTACTGGGAACTGTGGATCAGAATATGCAAGACCCTTTAAAAAGTTTACTGTGCTTCCCTATTTATTAATATCATTCCCTTGTTTCATGGGCATCTCAAATTGCAACGCTTCCTAGCCCTCCCACTCTAAACCCTGCAAAGACCATACAAAGGAACTCAGGTATCTATGTTTCTATGTAGTATGTGCAAGGGGCTGCACAATCTCCAAATAAAAATCTGTGTGAATATTGGACACAACACCAGAGGCACCAAAATGCATATTTGACCGAATTTGCAGAATGTGAAGATACCATGAAGCATCAAACACAAATCAGAGACAAACAATCATTTAGGACACCAAATAACTTCTTGAACACAGCCTTAAAAAAAAAAAAAAAAAAAAAACACTAAATAAATAATTCAAATATCTAAATATCAAGGGACTAAAAGGCATTTTCTCATATTTAAGGGAAGGCATCACAGGTGAGGAAAATAACTGTCAACACAAGGTATCACAAATCAAAAAGCAGCTTTTTCACATAGGAGATAGTAGTATCATTGGATAGCATTTGAATATGCTCATTTCCTGAAAGCTCAAATATCACCACTTCCTGTTTTTGCATGTCCACCCACTTTTGACATTGCAAGGCACTCTGCAAGTTTACTGTACCGTCCCCATCGCTGTAAAGAATCTTGGGTTCTTTGTCAGGAAAACTTTCATAATGGAAGGAATCAGGTGTTTCCACGCCAGTACCATAAAGACAGTGTATACGCACACCAGGTGGTGTCATCTGGTAGACCAGGTGTTCAGTGTCTTGTCTCATGAGCCAGCCATCTTCAAAATTGATGTCCCTGTAGAATTTCTGGTAATCCCGAAGAGTGTAGTTAGCTGTAGGTGTGCTTACAAAGACCTTATCTGGAGGCCATGTGTAGTTGTAGGGGAGCATCCAATTTGTGGAAACTGCTGATCTCTGCTGGTCTCTGATCTTGAGTGAACTGATAACAGGTATTCTATTATTGTCACCTTAAGAAAAAAAAAATGGAATTTCATTATACACAAAGCAAAGCATGAATCTCAACCAGCAGCAGTTACTACCACTCACAGCGATAATATGAATAAAAAGAATATTCCCTTTGCTTACAGTGACAATGAGTTCTTCCTCATTTATAATTGGCTTGATAATTAAGTTGTGCAAACTAACTTCTCGTAACTTACAAATTTAAATACAAGTTGATGAATGAATGACTGACAAACCAAGAACACTGCTGCCTTTCCAATATGCTCCTTTTTATAGCAGAAAATATTTCCTATACGAGCAAAGTATGAAAACAGTTTTTATTAGGCATTATCTATATAATTTTCAAGTTTTGTCTTAAATGCTCTTCTGGAAATGTGTTTTACAGTGATTCTGGTACCTAGATCATATTTTTGCTGAAAGAATAGATAAACACTACTATCCACACGCATGTAAGAACTCATGAAGAGACTTTATAGGCTTAACCAAGTTTTTAAAGTTTTGCAGCTTCAAAACAAGCAGAGCAGCAATATTTTATTCAGGATAGTTATAAAAATTACTATATGGTTTATCATTTGGCCTAGTGTTTTACCAGTTTATGCACTCCCTGTGTAACAAAACCTACCAGAACATGTCTTCCATTGAAAGAAAACAGCAGACTCTTAATAGTTACCTAAAGATAACTGTCATGAAAGGAAACAGAAGCAAAGCAAGTATTACTGGCTCTGCTTACACTATCAAGTAATAACACTTCACTGAATGACCAATTCACTTTCTTTGCGTAGCACTTCGACAAAAGAAGAGTTAGAGCTTGTTAGCTTCTGGTGGGAACCACCGAAAATCGCCAGTATCAGCATTTTCCAGTCAGCATTTCAAGACAGCTAAAATACTTGTGTTGCTCAGAACACGTGTTCTCTAATGTAGCACTAATATTTTCTAGCAACCCTAGCAACCTGAACTACATCTTTGCTGTTGGGGGAACAGACAAAACAGACAAATTCTTGAAAGACCAGTTGATAACTACTATACTTGGGAAATGTTTTCAAGTTGGCCAAGCTTTTCCAAGGCGTTATATTTTCTTAACGTAATCTAAATCTAGAGAGCTAGAGCTTATTATCAGTAAAGGTCTTAAACTATCCGATACCCTGTAAACCACAAAATTGTTACATTTTACCAAATTAAGACTTACTCTTATTACAGAACCAGTGTTTGACCAAAACATTGCAAGAATTTTTCATAGCAGTTTGTTCCAGAGATGGCTCATACTAACACATTGACTAAGTTATAATTTATATGCATCCTCCTTCATATTTTAAGCATTGCTCTTGCATCTTCACAAAATTAAAAGCTGTTTAATAGATGGCAGATATAGTCATTACTAGAAAAATTTGGGAAAAAAAAAAAAGAGCCCTGAGACATCCAAGTTCATTTTCATGGTGACTGTCTGATCAGACCTCTTTTGGATTATCACAATGGCTAGCACACCTCAGTTCTTTTATCAGCTGAACCTTAAGTCAGATTTTCCATTATTAGGTCCAGGTGGTTACAAGCATGTAGAGAACCAGGTCAACCACACCGTAAAAAATGAAATACTGAAACCAAAACTGCTATTCTTGGACCACCACCAATGTATATTTTTCAGTTCCATAAGGTGGCACTATTGCTTCAGCAAGGAGACCTAAAGCACGGCCTTTAATGCCATCTCCAGGAAGACTATATAGAGACATTGCTAGTATAACTCTGAAACAGATAAAAAGGAAGCTCAAAAAAGCACTGCAGTAATCACAAAGGTCCTGGAAAATGTGTTTCATATTACTGTGTGGTACAAATACTTAACTGTGCACACTCACCACTAAGCTACTGAATATTGCCTGGCAGTTTTCAGCAAAGAAAGCTCTAGTTCTGAACTGAACAATGAAAGGAATCTGTACAAAAAATTTATTTCCAGTAGAATAATCAAACATGCCTTCTCTTACAGAACTGTTACAAAATGCTTATCAAATCCTTTACTTTTCTCTGAAGTGCAGAAGTACTGTATGGCCAAGACCATGCTTAAGTCAGCAGGCCCAACACTCATCGCTGTAATAGTGAACACAATTTTAGGTTTAAGGAAAACACTGCTAGCTTCTCAAGTTGACAAAAAAAAAACAATGAACCAAACCACCAGTGAACTTTGTGTCTTTGCTTGCTGTAGTGGGCAGAACATCCTTACTTTATTGGCACAGGAACTGTAGTGATGTAAGTATTGATCCTGCAGAGCACATGAATGAGTAGCACAAAGTATCACAGAAGATCTGGAGAAAATAATTCCACCTGTGTACTATTTACCACTTCGATAACACATCTGTGGATTTGACATTAAGTTCCTAGCTATTACCATATTATGAACAGGCATCAGAGCAGAAAGAATGCATTCATAGCTTGCCTTCTCTTTCCTGCAGCAATGCAGTGTTTTTCTTTAAATCAATAATTCTGCATACTAACATCCTGATAGTGTCACTTTTAGCAATTCGTTAATAGACTAATGCAGTCAAGTGTTAATGCCTGATGGTGGTGATTTACTACAGATATTTGAGACAGAACTAGACTAAAAATGTGCATTCTGATACGGTCTTCTGCCAGTTGAACTTTCCTACATGATTCCTAAGTTTCTGCTCTAAAACATGGAGTTTAGTACAACAGACATACAGATTAAAAGATGACTAAATTTTAGTAGAAGTTGAACAAATCATTATGCATTTGTATAGCTAGCTACTTTGAATAAGATGCATTATAAAGGATAAACAAGATATGAAGCACAGAAGTTTAATCCAACAGATCTGGGACTGTGGAATTTTATGAATGCGATATTAACATTGCTTGCTTCCTGCACGCAAGCTTGTCAGACAAAGCCTGTGGGAAGAAGGAAATCAATTTTTACAGTGCCATTACGATAGATTTAATGTATAACTCAATACAAACATCCAGTTTACGTTTTCTAATTAGTAACTGAGTTGTGCACTACTATTCAGAATCAAATGTCTTTGCTAAGCAAAGTATTCTTTGCTCTGTCCACGCATGGCTGGCTCTTGCTGTGTGTTGTGCATTTTGATGAAGTCCAGTTTTTAATGTCAGCTTTGTTTAGAAAGAAGATAGTGATATCTAAAGCTAACAAGTCAGAAACAAGCTTAAAAAGCAAGCCAGAAGCATCATGAACTAAATGCCAAAGCACATGAAATAATTATGGTATCACATGATAGAGTAAATTAACTTTTTTCATCACTCATTCACAGTTACTTAGTGAAAAACGTTATGCTTCTTCATTCAGTTTTTTTAAGTCCCAGGCATATCCAGTATGCTAAACCCAAGATCTCAGAGATTCACTTTCCTCACCTGTAGTTATAACTTTAGACAGGCATTCATGCAGCAGGCACTACTTCACCACCATGTCTACAAGTTTCCCTTAATGTTAACCTCAAGCAGCTGTGTGATCCTTAATCAAAGGAGACTACTGAATGTTCTATAGTCCTTGTTAGTTTTGCAACGCTGAACAGAAAGCAATCAGGCTGTATGCGGAAGTGACAGAAATAGAAGACACCAGGCCAAACAGCAGATGACACAACAATCCGCTGAAAAGAGGTGAGGAGAGGTCAAGAGGGAACACAGCTCCTGGTTAAGGGACATAAAAAAATTCAGTCCACTCCCATGAACATAAAGAATGACAGTCTGGTCACAGGGCTTGAAACATCAAGTTGCCATTCCTTATGAAAAAAATATTTTTAACTTCACGGTATCTTAAACTCTCACCCTCTAGTCTTACTGTCAACAGTCTAGTTAGTATCTTGCACTGCTAATACATTGCAAGCCATCTAATTACCTACCTGAAGCCAGCACACGGAGTGTTTTAGCCACTCCTCCCCATGGAGCGCCTAATGACACATAATCCTTTATGTACTTGTCTTTCCAATCCTGAGACTGATGGTTGAGAAAGTAGAGGGTGTACATATTACCCATACTGTGGGCAATTAAGACAACAGGACTTCCATACTGCTCATACATTAACTCTATCATCTTGCGAAGGGCCACAAAATAGTCTTCATTCTCATCTAAAGTAAACATACATGGGTTACACAGTTATAATTATTAATTGTGAATGCTGAACTTTAACACAATTCTTTAAGAGGATATTTTTTTCAAACTGTCTGTGGAATTAAGAATGCAGGGCTTCAAAATTCCAGTATTAAACAGGAAGGGTGGGTGTATTTATGGGGATGTGTTTTGGTGGTGTGTTTTTCTTGTTTTGGTTTTAAGCAAGTCTTAAGTAGCAGGTTGTTTAAAGCAAAAAAAAAAGAAACCACACCACAGAGCTTTCATCTGGGTCCAGGGGTACTCAGGCCCCAAGAAGTAGTCAAAAATAAGTTTTTAAGTATAATTGTACAGGTAGGATAGGAGAAGAGACCCAAAACATTATTTGCTGGCTGGGAGAGTCAACATTTTGTTCAAGTCACAATGTGTTATTTACTTGGTGCCTTTCGCCAGTCATAAGGTGCTCCTCTTACGTCTTCATCACGCATGTAGCCCCAATCTACTAGGCTCTGCACCAGCATATAAAAGTAGCTGCCTGTAGACAGAGAAAAAGAACAGTGAAAACACTGGCATTAGAAGTAGCCATCAGACACTATCATGAAACAAACCAAGTTCTGGAGGCATTATCTCTGGTACCATATATACAAACATTAAAGCTGTAGTCTTAATGTTTGACAATCTAGAAAGCTGCATATTAAGCAAAACAAGTTATGCTTGCTCACTCCCCGAAAGTGAGAGAATACCATTATTAACAATTCTTACTAGTTAGCTGATCTATCAAACAAATGTTGCAGCAAAGTGTGGTATATACAGAATGGATAAATTTTCCTCAGCAGGAATGTTTCTTACCCCTGAACTGTAAGGAATACACCTCAGAAGTTACTACATTAGAGTCCTAGCTTTTGTTTATCGCAAATTAACTTCAGGTAGTGTATGAAATACATACATAGAGTTGGCCTGGACTTCACCAACATTAATGCCTGCAAACAAATTCTTACAGTGTACCAGAGGGCAAAATTCTGGAAGCTACTCCAATACTATTTTTTTATCTATCAGGTAGTAGACTAAGACTTAAGTGACGAACATAATGCTTTAATAGCAAAGGGAAACATTTGCAGACTAGATATTGTTATATATTTAGAGATATTACATATTACCAACTTGGACACATAGGCTTTAAGTATTACCACAATTAAACATATCTGGTAACAGCTCAGAAAAATTAAGTATCAGAACATCCTATTGAATATGATAGCCATATATAAATTTTGAGCAGAACCTCAGTCTTGAATGCTTATGATAAAGTCCCTGAAACTAACAGAGGCAATTTTAAATATGGCCCTGTTCTAGTTATAAGAGTCATCTAGTGAAGACCATTAAGCACATGACTACCCTTTTGGAGCTTTCTCCCTAAAGAAGAAATCCATGCTATGAAGCACATGAAACTCAGTGCATTACTGACTATTAAGTTAAGTCTTCAGCCACAGCTAACAACTCACAAAAGCTTCAGATTAAGCGTTTTCTAAAAGATTATTTCTACAAAGAAATTGAACAAAACACCCCTGCAAACACGTTAATGCAGAAATCTTTTGCAGCACACATGTAATTATACAATTATAGTGACACTAACAAATGACAGGGAACTGCAGACTGTGGTACCATATCTCCCAAGCCCATTAACTCATTTCTAAGGCCAAAAAACATCTTACTCAGAACCAAACTGAAATTAAGTGGTTTTATTTTGGTTTTGCATGTCAAGCTTCAGTCACAGAATTCCCTACTCAACCCATTGCATTTTCCGAAGGTGTCTGTCTTCAAAGTACCTACTCAAGTTTCATCCAGAGGACTTAAATTTGGCACAAAACTAAATAACATGGAATCTTCTTTTCTCGATCTATCTGGCCAAACAACAGTCAAAACAATATAATGCAATGAAGACACTTAAAAGCAGAGTGAGCAACGTGCTACCCCCTACTACAAAAAAAAAAAAAAACCCACGTTTTTCTACTTCTAAACAAAACTGTAATTTGAAATCACATTTCAGTAGCTTCCTGTATATAAAGACACACTAGAAAAATCCTACATGTGACAAAGCACTTCAGACACAGCTTGTACATACCAACGCTCCTTTTACTTGGGTCAAGGAACTCTAGAGAAAATGTCTGCCCAAAACCCGGAACTCTGATATCCACTCCATCTGGTGGTTCTGTAATCTTACTTGTTCGATTATATACCAGCCTTGGCGGGGGAGGGAGGGAGGGGTTGGGAAGAGAAAGAAAAACATTTAACATGTCATATTACCACATGACAGCTCTCAACTACTCTTACATTATGAGTGCAGTAACAAGAACTTTAAGTGCTATTACCCAGAAGAAAAAAATATGCAGACATGATAAGAGCACTCTTAATGGCTATGATGTTATGCCATCAAGCAGTTATTTAAATTAGTTTAATGCTTTATATGTAGAATCTGAAGTTTGTCTTCTCTGTAAAACTGAGTATACAGAATGGTGTCTGACAACTTTAGAATATAAGCTACTGTATATAGTTCTATACCATTTCACTTTGCATCAAGCCACATAACGGAGAAAACTTGTCAAGAACATAAGAATGTGGCAGTAGAAGATAAACTGCCTGTAAAAATCAGACAGCAGAAAAATTTTCCTAGAAAAAAAATAATTTCTGGTTAACTAGAACACCCATACCAGCATAAGGGAGTACTTGATATTTCTTGACTAATAACAATTAGTACCTCAGGAAACTCATCCATGTATTGAGTGTTTTGTAGATTTTTTTCAAATCAATTGGAATCTGGAGCACTGGGTCAGGGTTGGTTTTTTTTTAATTGTTGCTGTTGGGGTTTTGTTTGTTTTTAATACCATAGCAATACAACTGCCATTTCTGAATGCAAGTTTTCACCCCTAGATATAGTCTCAGAATCTTAACTGATACTCAAATCTCCATACACCAAAAGTCCTCTAACCTCTAAGGCACAGATAATAGCAAGACTTTAAGCAGAAGTACAACTTCACAACAGCTCAGGATATTCACATTAGAGTAACATGCCAGTATATTTTTCATTTGCAGAAGCTAAATAATACTTGTTTTCCTAGAGATATTTATGATTTTTACAAGAACATTGATGAAGCAGATCGAACAGGGAAATAGTCTGGAAGCTTTAAATTAGGTAATATTTTAAAAGAAAATAATTCTGGAAAGCCTTCCAGACTGACCTTGAAGGACCCCATGTGTCTCAGCTGCCTGTCAGACTGCTTGCTAATGACACACTGCCCACTAATGACACACTGCCAGCAAAACTACAAGCTCACATTCCTCCAGCCTGTCCCCTCTGAACTGCCCAATGTACCTTCTTTCCCCTTGCCTCATCAAAAAAGCAGAATATGTTCTGCTTTAGATAAACCTACAGAGGTATCTGATAAATGCCCAAACCAACACTGCGTAACTCTTAGGAAAAGAAGTGGAAGAAACTAGGAGATTCTCTCGCTTTTCATCAGAGATGAACAGCTACCTCAGATGCAACAGCACCACATCTTCTGATTCATCCTGTTACTCTACCTAGCAGAATTCCAAATCATTTCTCTCACTGGTCTTGAATCAGAAAATAAAGTTTAAGGCAGCTATTCTTGCATGTCAGTCTAAGGAAAGGAGATGACTGCAAAGAGCAACATTTGTGGTCTTACCTGATATTATCAATCCAGCAGTCAATGATGACAGGCAGAAGCAATTCTAAATTCAGCCAGAGTGTAAAATAACTGTCTGTCTTCTTAGAGCAGAGATAGTGCACTACTGATGGCTTATCTAACTTGGCTTCCAACTGATTACCTAAGTCTCCTGGAACTGAAAGACATAAAAACAAGACACTTAAAATTAGAACGTATAGCCTTTTACATTAGAATATACACATCTTAATACTGTAGCCCTCCTATACAGTATCACTTCATCCAGAGATACCATTAAGTTTTGTAACTGGATAAAAAAATATTACATAAAAACAAAGTACTGCATGCACATTTTCCACTGAAAATATTTAGATTTTCAAAAATCAGTAGCTGGGGAACGACCATGTAAGATAATTCTGGATCAACAGCTCATAACTTCAAAGAGCAGATTATATAGGAACAGGCCATGCTAGGCCATGGGTATGAAAAACAGATGGTCTCAGATGTTACCAAAATTTTCTGTATTTTAAAGTGCAAACTGAATCTTTCTGAAATCATTTTCTTCTTCAGATTATTACAACTGCACATGCAAGTTTTTCTATTCTCTTTAAAGAGTTGCCTGCAAACTACCAATTTGACATTAAAGAAAAATGTGAGAAGTGAAAGCAGCTATGTTTTTTATATTCACTTCACCTCCAACCGCACTTTGCTACAGAAGATTTAGTTGGCTAACATAATCCAGATTCATGTCTTACATTCAGGTTTGGATGCAACAACAATTTTGATTTTCACTTTTTGTTTTTTGATACGTTACATCAGTAATACTTGGAGGGAAAGATCTCATATTTGCCCCTTGAAGTGCACTGTTCTTAAGGCACATACTAAATGCCAGTATTCCTTTTATTTTATTTTCCTTTATTTTAAACACTAGATGGAGACAGGAATATTATTTTTCAATTAGAATTAAGCTTAAAAAAATGCTCTTGTAATTTTCAGCAGCAAGTTCCCAGAGAAGCTTCTTACATTTTGTTATGTTTAATCATTTATTCCTCAAGAACCAGGAAGTCAAGGATACTTCAGTAACTGAAAATATTCTCTATATTAGATAAATTTAGGAGTTAGGCACTTAAGGGTTCCCCTCTGCTCCTTTCAGCTCCACACCCCATCACCTTTTTGGGGTGTGCATAACTATCCTGTTCACTTGTCAATGTTTAATTATGAAGTTTTTTAATACAGGCTTACCATTGTTTTAGTTTTTTCCCCACTTCAGTAAATTATTTAATCAAAACTGTTTAAGTTCTGTAAAGCACTGATACATAGCAATGGTTTAAAGATGTAATATCTTTTAGTGGCACACTTAATTTAACCGGAAAGCCAGATATGCTTTCAGAGTAACACTTATTGCAGAACTGAAAAAGGACAGAACTTCAGACTATAGACCTGGACAACCACACTCTGGCAACCTTCAACCACTGCACGTTATGCCACACCAGAAAAGATATACCTCAGGATTTCTTTATTAACTACCCCTACTTTCTCATTAGCTTTTTAGTGCTTTTCTTTCTGTAGTCTTAAGTGAAACGTCAAAAGACCCAGTAGCTGACTACAGTTTACTTCAGGTCATATTTCAAGGACTCTGACATACTGGAAAGCATAGTAAGGAAGATTATAGTATTGCATCACACCCTAGAAAGTTTACTGAAGTTCAGTCTTGTAACCTCACAAAACGCTGCTTAGTTATTGCTTATAAGACTATAAGGCAACAGCTTGTTCCCGTCTCGTGCCTGTGCTGTATCAGTGCTTTTAATTAGAAGAGGGACAGAATGTAATTCTATTTATATCAATCATTCATGGCTAGGCAGTTTCAGCAGCAGACCTGTCAAGGACAGAACAGGTTGATTTTGTCTTCAGTTTCAATGCAAAACAGCGGAAAAGAGTGACATTCTGTCCATGCAAAACAAAGTAAGAGAGTGACATTCAGTTCTACCCTGAAATGTAATTTCCTTGGGTAAAAATCAAGTTCTTCCAGCAAAGACACCTTTCAAAGACTTAGACAAACATCTGGAGTATCAGAGTTTTAAGAACTTGCTGAGGTTTCCAAACAGCACTCAAATAATCGTAAGCACTCCCACTTAGAGTAGAAAGACTCATAACTGAAGAATTTTAAGATTATAATCAAAATACATTTATCAACAAGAGTACAGAAAGCAGGAAACTGTACAAAGTCTCGTTTGAACTTCATGGGCTGATCTTAGATTAACTGTAAATTTAATTTGGTTAAAATATTTTATCCTCAAGCTTCTTGGGGACAGAAGCTGTGCTCCTGTGTCCAATTCAGAGCAGAAGATGAGAAGCATTACACACTTATTTTTACTCAACAAATGATAAGTAACAGGTTGAAAAGTGGTGATTTTATGTAATCCTAAACAGATGATAAGGGGCAAGTCCCACCTGTGCCAAGATACTATACTGGCATTAAAAATTCTCATGTACAGGTGTAATGCCTGTTTGTTTATAAAGCAGGGATTAACAAAAAAAGGTTTTTCAGGTTTACATTTCCAATTAACAGTGAAAATGCTGATCACTGTAATTCACAACTCGTGTTTTAATTTTCTAATGTATATTATGCAAGAGGGTTCATGAAGCTATAGGGAACAGAGCACAAATTTTGATTTTTCAGATTATAGAAAGAAATATGCAAGATCTTCAGACCTCACCCCACACAATTTAACAGTGTTAATGATTTACATTTTGGCTGTAGAACTACTTAGTGGCTTTTTGATAAGTAACAGGTTTAAAAGAAGATCACATTGAAGATTAATTCTGCAAGATAAGGACATACCTTTCTGATTTTTATGTGATGGAATCTGAAAGCAGTAGAAAAACACATTTCCCTTTGCTTTCAAACCATCCACACAAAGCATCTGTGAGCAGAATAATCTGCAAGCAATTTTCCTCCTTATCTTCTCATCTACTGGTGTCTGTAGTTTCTAAGTAGTTTTGCTGGGAACGTTATAGAAAGTTCTTACTTGTTAAAGCCTGCAGAGAGACCCCATAAATGTACAAAACTGGCAAGTGAAGTTCTGCAAAATACATCAGCACTAGTTAAAACTGGATGTCCAAGAAAATATCTCAAGTTGTACCCTTGCTTCCCTAATTCGCAGTTGTGTAATACACATATTGACTTCTGAACGGCAACATCTGGAAATACAAGAATTCATATTCAGCAGAAAAAAAAAAGTGATTCCATCAAATTCGATGATTTATCAGTTCTAGCATATTCTCATTTTTCACAAAGACGGTAATCCCAACAGAACTCATCCCAATAAAACAATGAGCTCAATTCACTTCCAATACTGTAGTATCCTTGGCTGTCTTTTTTGCCTCAACTGTCCTGACAGAACTAGTAGATCTCCTTCTGGGAGGGGTTCTTGTTTGATTAAACTTTATGTAAAGCACATTTAAAGATTTGAGAGCTTAAAAGAGGTTACAGACTTTTCCCAAGTCTGGACACTACAATAACTAGCTTTAGGATACATTGATACTCCTGCCCATCGCTGTCCTTAAATCTTAATGACCAGTTCACAGTTCCCAGCAGACAATAAGCAAATTGCACCCTGAAGAGTGACTTGCCTTCATACTGCTCAGGAAATTAAGAGAGAAAAAAGAATATTCAACAGAAGCCATGAATAGGGGGATCTTTAATTTGGAAAAAATAAATTTCCCATATAATAACTGGGGGGGAAGCTGCCGTTTGTGTGGCAAATAGGCCATCAGTTAGTACTTTTTTTACTACTTTTATCTGAAATGCAAATACCTTTGGATATCTATCAACTACTGTAACTTTTTAACTGGTATAATTTCCTCAAATAACTGTCATCATCTTGGTTCTATTAATTAGCCTTCCTTCAAAATGAGCCAAGTTTTCTGGAAAATTAATTTTAAACTCTGACCACAGTTCTCTAATAAAATGTCTCAAAGTGGCTGACGGACTCAGTGATAGACTGACACAGAAAAGGCCTGTGTTTAAAATTAGGAACAAGAAAGCAAACAACTTCTCACATGATACTTATAGATACTTCAGATCACATGAGGCATCAACATTTAAATCACTCCTGATAGCTAGCTAGCTGACCATACAAACATGCACAGCTCCATTAGCACTCAGCAGGAATTCACCGACAAACCTCGTTTGCATGTAAATCAATTATTAACAAACTTCATTTAGGTGTCTTTCTAGAAAACTTTAGCCAAGTACCTAACAAATTGTTTGCAGAAGGTATCAGAACATTGATATAGTAATTGTGTCGAGTCAGCTCTACAAAGTAAAGAGGTAAGTGAATCCACCGTTGATCTTATAAGGACAGGCTATCAGCTCCCAAAATTGATAAAGACATGAGATAGTCCCTCAATAATCACTGCGTACTATGAGAAAATGAAGGAGGAAAAGCCGCAAAATAAAGGAACTTTGTATTGTGAGCCTTAGAAGACAAGTGTGCTGAATATATAACTTTTCCCCAGAAACACTTGGGAGAACTCCAAGACAGTCATCTTACATTTTAATAAGCATTGTGTCTTTGGTATCAAGCCTTCAGGCAGGACTCTGGAAGCAAGGTTTTGACTTTTACCTCGTGTTTCTTCTTCTCTAGTACCGCTATTATATGAATACCCTTTGATGCTTTGTTATTTAAATCTCAGGAAAAACTGAGCAATTGCATTGCAGTGTTTTGCTGTCAGTTACTATCCATGTCTGTTTGGTGCCTTGGTATGCACAAACAGTATCTTCAACTCCTGCTACTAAGGCACCATTTGATGATGTACAGACCAGTTTTAAAAATAATTCTAATGGAGTGGTGCTGCTCTCCACATTCCTTGCTCCAGCTCCTCTGTTAAGGTAATTCAACTGCAAAATTAATCACTTAATCCTCAACAGGTTGATTTTCTCATGCTTTAGCAAGACAAATGACTCCACAAAGTGGTCAGTAAGGAGGCACAAGGAAAGCTAAGGGACCACTAATGAGCTCTAAGATTGGCTTACAGAACCACACTGCACCTGAGCCAGTTAGAGGGCTTTACAAATCTGAGACCTCTTGCCACCACAACTATAGCCAGGAGTTACAAGGCTGTATTCGAGCAGCTCAGGTTTTCAGATTTGAGATTCTTATTTGCAGTGGTTTTGTTAGTACCTGAGGAGCAGAACCAAGTTTCCCATGTACAAGCAATGCCCCATATTTGCCAAATACTGCTCTACTTCCTCCTCTGTTACTTGGGTAAGCACAGCTTGCAACTGCTGCACTACCCCAAAAATCTGAGAGCAAGTTACACTGGGCCTTGTGACCATCACTGGCCTAACACATTTACGAAGTGATCATTATGTTTACAACATTCCTTTAAACAGCATTCCTTCCTTCTTTATTCCTTAAGATCAGATAGCCAACTTGCCATGCACAGAATAAGACCAAACTTGTTAACTCCCCTCTCTACTTAAAGAGTTTTATCTTCCAAACAGACCAAGAGTGAACACTTAGATCATGAGACCACATTTATCCTAAGATAAAAAGCATATTTAAAAACTGAACACATATGAACAATTAAGGATCTAGATACCAACCTGATAAATCAGGAGGACTGAGTCTGCATCCCCATCTTGTATGGGCTCCAAAGCCATCTCAGGCTTGTATAGGCCTACACAAGGCAACCTTACATACACCTCTCAATCCCCTTTTGCCCTTGTGATTCCAGTGCTGTGTGTTTTTTTTCTCCTCTCCCTAACACCTGTTAAGCCAGCACTTCGAATGCCTCCCTAAATGATTCTCCTAAACCCTTCTACCGTCCCCACAGCAGTAATTCCTAAAAAGCTTATCTTAACATGTCACATACGTAAGAAGGGTGAAGAACAGGTCATGAAAAGTTAACTAGAATCAAGATGAGAACACTTCATACTGAACCTGTGAGTGACCAACAGTTACTCCTTCCTCTCCTTTATTTGTTTGACCTTCACTGCCCACGTCATGTCTAACTGAAGCTAAGATCTTAGGGCAGGTGTTTTTACAGAGAGAGTCATTTCTATACATCAAAAACCCATGGTATTTTACAATAAGAAGTTACAGCAAATCATTCCTAAGAGTGCCTACATTCTCAAACATACAAACAACCCAGAAAAATTATTTATGTTAGAACACATCGAATCTTCACTTCTGCCAGACTGGGCAGCAGAAAACAGCACATTTTAAAACACAGACACTGACTAGAAGAGTAAGAGATTAAAGTTCTGTAGCATTTGATGAAAATTCACTTCAACAGCAACAAAGTCGGTGTTTTAAACCCCTCACTGATGAATGTGAGTGCTCAGCCATGCAATATTTACCAGAAGGTCTCTTAGGAAAACAAAATGTAGGTCAGCCACGGTTCTTACAAGCATCCTTCGGGAACATACATACTTACAGTAGATGCATCAGTATCTCTTTATCCCAATTGCTTTTAAATCTTCTTTGATTCCTTCATAGCTAGAGTTGACTATTGGATCAGCAACTAAAACACCATCACCTTTGTCATCAAGAAGTTTGCACTGGACTAAGCGCCAAAGCTCATTGCTAAAACCCAACATTACGGAGGGAAGAGGTGGGATACAAGATTGCTTCTGGCCTCCACAGGCAGAACTCAAAAGAACTTCTGCTCACGTTTTTACTCCCAGCCTCTTAGGACATCCTTTTGCAGTTTCTACTTCTATACCTACATCCTCTCAGTTAGTTCTGCCATCCATTAAGAACTGGGAATTTGTACATGGTGGTGCCGAGATACACGGCATCTTTAAAAGAGTTCTTACTTAACATTTGCCCTTTCATGTTTGTAACAACAGTATTAAAGTCAACAGCAGAGGCTAAATTATTATAAATAAATGGAACTTAAACTGAACAACATGCCACTGATTAATCTTTTTTTCCCAGTATTTTTTCCCATTTTCTCACTTCTTCCCCCTTTATCATCAAGGTTAATTTCATAAGAACATCGATCAGCTAATACATTTACAAAGCTAACTAGGCATTAATATCACCAAATGCACTTAATGTATGAGAATGCTTAAGAATTAGAATTTCAGTAGACAAGTTATTAAAACACTTAAAATTTATTTACTATTCTTATTAACAGATAGAAAAAGCATCTAACAAATATTACTTAGTAACTATTATATCAAGACTTTCCATATATTTGTTACAAGCTATTTTGTGTTAACAGGTGAAACCACAGGCCAGTAATCAATATTCATTTTTTACGTTGTGTGATGAAATAAGCCTACTACTTTTTGAATACTTGCAGTTTGACTGCTCTAACACCCACTCACTCCTCCTTCCACACCTGATTCCAACCTCTTTTATGAAAGGTTCGTATGGAGTAAAAACTTGGTAAGCGAGGAGCTGTTTTTCAGTTAGTGACCTAACAACGTCTTTCAGCGAGCCTTGTTTTCCCCACAGCCGCTGACAAGCGAAAGCACGCTGACCTTCTCGGCAGGTTTGTGCCCCCCCGTGATGCGAGCTGCCCGCTCCCCCCGCCCCGGGCCTGGATTCTTCGCTGTGGCGGCCGGGCCGCCCCCGCCGGGGCACCGTTACCGCTCGGTGCCCGGCGCCGGCGCCCCCCGTTCCCGCAGCGCCCGGGGCGCTCACAACGCGGGGCCGCTCGGCGAAACACCCCGGAGCCCCCGGGCGGCGGCGGGCGGGCGGGGCGCTCCCCGGGCCTCGCTGCGCCTCCCTGCCAGGGCTGCGACAGCCGAGCCAGCGGGCGCGCCCGGCGCCAGACCCCGCACCGCCGCCGCCCCCCGGCTCTTACCCAGCACCACGGGCGGCCCCGCGGGCCGGCGGCGCGGCAGGCACCCGCCGCCGGGGCAGAGCAGCAACAGCAGGAGGAAAGGGAGGCTGAGGAAGGGGCTCCCTCCCGAGCACGGGAGGAGCCTAGAGCCGGCCGGCGGGACCATCACCCCAGCGCATAACCCCGGGGCCGGGAAGCCGCCGCTCCGCTCCACCGGGGCTCCCCCGGAGTGCGGCCCCGCCGCCCGGCCCGGCCAGAAAAGAGGCGGCCCCGCCCCCTGCGCCTGGCCCCGCCCCGCCCCCCCACAGGCGTCCGCAGCCGATTGCGGAGAGCGCGAGCCGCCTCACGGCCCGGCCCCGCGCGCCCGCCGCTCCTCCCCTCAGCTCACCGCGCGGGGCCCGCTCCCCGCCCAAACCCCTGCCAATGTGGCGGCAGCCTTCCCCTCCCCTCGCCTTTCGGAGCGCCCCCCCGGCTGCCGCAGCGCCGGCCCCGCCCGTGTGAGGCGGAGCGGACAGGTAGGGCAGCCCGCAGGTCCGGGCTGAGGCCTCTGGGCCCGGCTGGCGGCACGCATTTAGGGAGGGAGGAGTGCCTTTGCCTCACGTTCCCACACCGACGGTTGTCTAATCGTGACGGTTTCTAAAAGTGAAGCAAGGGACGTTTGCTGCAAGACATAGGCATAAAGCTAGGTAGCGCATAAAGGGGCGTCGTCAGAATGGTTTAAGGAAACCCAGAAATACGTGGCAGAGCTGCGAATTTTAGTATTTCACAGCCAAGGGACTGGACATATGATATAAAAGCTCATGGGCATAGCAGTACTTCAGGCAACACCTGACAAACGTGGTGGCTAATTGGTACAGGGTATCGTTGAGGTCAGGCATTTGGCAATACTCAAAATCATTAAACCTTTATACATGTAACAAGAACAGCTAGACTTGTAATTACAGTAATTTAAAACTAGAAGGGATATAATCCTTTGTGCTTTGGCAACAGCAGTTAGTAGGAATTATGTGCTCAGTTTGAAGTACACGTCGTTTTGGGGGGGTGTCTGGTTGTGGAGCGGGAGGAGGAAGGGTATCCACAGAAGCAGAAACTAAACGGAGAAAAAAATGGTACTTGGAACCAGTGTAATCACATTTCATGATCAATCCTAAGTGTGCTGATGAGCAAGACAAGGTTTCCTTGGTTCACTCCTGTATCTCCACTGCTCCTGTGGACACACACCTTCTGAGCCTGGTGTTATCAATTCACGCTCACTCAGGGTAAAGCTATTTCTGATAGAGATACTCTGCAACAAGGGCACTGCAGTGTCTGCTTCACAGCTTCCTACATACCTCAGCGTGTTTACTAATTTTCAGAAGTATTTCTACTTTGGATGGTTAATACATTAGCATGAACAGTATCACAAATGAAGTCATGGGAGTGAGAGACAAGTAGAAGTAGAAAACTCTTCATTCACTTGGTAACTCCTACCACCTATATACACTGTAAGGTGTAAAACTGAAGCTGTTCTTGCCTCACTGAATTTAGTATTCAACAACATTTGTAATTCCTGCAGAAAGACATGTCAGAAAGATCTGTGTGTGAAGGCAGAATCTGGTAAAACAGATACACAGCCTATAGACAGGAGTTTAGAGAAATGATGGGGGGTGGCTCGGCATTGACATGGAAGGAGGAGGACACATCTTCCTCCTGAAATAAGGCAGAGGAAGAAAATGCAACAAATCACTCAAGGAAGTTAAGGCTAAGTCTAAATCTAGACTTGCCTTTTTCAAGACAGCTGCCACACCTTGTATATTTACGAGTGGAAGGGTGTCAGCATCCAACAAAGCCAAAGGGCTGTCCCAAAGACAGGTGCTTTAGTCACCATGCAAGTGTTGACTTGAAATGACCTCCTATTAAACCAAACTACAGGGTGTGCAAGTATGACTGACTGTAAAACTGATTGCAACACTGATCCTGGTGTAGGAATTAAATGTTACAAAATGCAGCGAAAGACCTTATGGAAGGGTAAAACATCATTTAAAGAAAGATGATTTCAGTCACTCACAGTCATTCTCTCATACCCCTGTACTCAAAAGACCCAAAATGTATATGTCCAAGTAGTCAGGCCAGGATCACTTGTGTTATGACACGAGGATCAAGGAATGATAGCTGTCAATTCCTCACTGCATCTCTTGGGTTCCCTTGGGTTGCATCAAAGCAGTTTTTGGACCGATTTTCTATGCCTTTTAGGAGTGAGTTATGATGATGGGATTTTTTTTTGGTCTCAGTCTTTTATTTCACCCTCTGTAAATTTTGGGCAAGGACACTGTCTGATGTCTTTGTTCCCTCCTTTTGAAGTATCTGTCCATCTTCCTGCTGAGCTAATAGAGACATGGCCTTTATGACTTACCATAAACTTGTTGCTATCTTCCTGTTACCAGAAGGCAGGTCTTCTGCTGCTAAGGCATTTCTGCTCTAGGCAGCTCAGGTCCCAGGCCTTTTGGTCTTGATGTAAGCACCAGTTTGATTACTCTTATTTGTGCCCTTGATTGTCTCATATGTGCCATTTTTGTAACCATTGCCTTATTGATTCTACTCAAGAGACATTTCCATACTCAATTCAAACCAATCTTAATTTTTCTTTTACAGATCTCAGTGCTGTTCTGGCATCTGGGAATATCTTTGCACCTCACTAAAAACCTCTCCATCTTATTCTTCTCCTGGAAAAGCCTGCTAAGCACATAATTGCTATTCCTCCTGCTCTGCAAACCCAGGCTCTTTAGATAACGAATCAAGTGTAGCGTATGTTGGTTATTTCTTTAGCTGTCTCCTTTTGGGAGATCAGGACCATTCACATTCAAAACCAAAGTAAATTAAACTCTTTGCCTTTGTAAGGTGGTTTTCACATTGAGTGCCTGGTCCTTACAGCAACAGACATGAGGAACCTTGACACACTGAAGAGTCCCTTAGCATTGCATTACAGTTGATGATACCCTGCTATTAATCGGGTCAGTGTAAGGATTTCTAAGTGCTGTTTTGTTAGAAGGGTAATCGGCCTCTTTCTCCAACAAAGAATGACTTAACAGCATGACATTGAACAGCAATTCAGGAACATGACCATGTGTAGCCACAACAGAATTCTACTAGTCATTACCCAAGGCAAATTCAAGAAATAACAGAACCAACTACAAGTCCGAACTGCCAATAAAATGCCAGCAAGTTTATTACAATACAAAGTGCATGCTATATACCTGCTTCCTTCACATGTTTTGTATCCAAAGCTGACTAGAAATGAAAAAGGAAGTTGTTATAATTGAAACTACTAATAAAAGCAGCACTGCACCTTTTTCACTTATACATGAGGTGAAAAAGATCATTATCCATACTCCAGAAGCCATTTTGTTATCACTGTAGAGAATTTTTAAAATATGCATAATCTGTATTCCAAGAAAATATTCTTTACTTCTTTCAGAAAAAAAACCACCAGAAGTAAACTATATTAAAGACCAGAAATAATATCCGTAGCATTATGTTTGTCTAAGACTTCTTGAGGGCTTGCACTGGCAACTTGGCAAAAACCACGAATTGGATATGAGTTTGCACACTGGTTGTTTAAAAGAAACAATCCTTTCCAGAAATCTAATATTTGCTTAAACATCTTTTATTTGATTGAACAGAATTCTCTGTTTGCTTCTGATTCTTGCCGTCTAAGTAGTGTTTGTATTGGCTCAAATACCCCCCAAACACGATTGTGCTGAGCTAGACACACTAGTAGAAAACCAGCAAGTTTCAAAGAAAGATGTGAAGACAAACAAAGTGTTGGCACAGATCTACACTGTAGGCAGAAGCCCATGTCAGCACTTTCCCCATTGTTAATGTGTTTCATTCAGGAATTTACCAAGTTCAAAATATTAACACAATCATAATCAGTCATACCTTTCAGAAACATGCTGTCTTAACTCTACCACCTCTCAGAATTTTACCAGCCATCCTAATTTTTGCATCTGAATTTGCACCAATACAAATTATCCCTGAGACCCAGAATCTAACCTTAATGACAATGAGAATAGTGAAATACAGACACTTGCAGAAGCCTCCTAGACAAGAAAGAAGGTAAAAGATTTAATAAGATGCTTATGTATACAAAAAAAGAATATTTGAGTCAATTCTCAGTGATTTGCTTTAATCATTTTCCTTGTTACTGAGTGTATAGACAGCATCTGCTGCCCACTTCATTTTTTCCTGCATATGTCAGTATGACATCTCTTCTTGAATTCCCAAAAATTCTCTTTGTCTTTGGAAAATATTATAATATAGATCTGTGACATTTCTTTCCTTCCAACCCCCAAACATCACAGACCACCAGGTATTCAGCTTTAGATAGGTTATGTTCATATGCACAATTTTGAACTTGTCCCCAAGGCCAGAAGGGAATCAACTGGTGAGAAGTCAGGCCTACCCAGAAACCTACATAAGCTAATGCATTGATAAAAACTAACATATACAGAGGTATAAGGAACTTAGGAAGACTAGAGCGAGACATTTTGGTTTAGTTTGCCACAAGTAGTCTGATTCTATAAAGTTCCCATTCTGAACAGCACACTTGGTCAGTTTTAAGCTTCATTAGAGAATACAGATTTTTTTAAAGAAGCTGGGATTTTATTTTTTTTTTTCCCTAATAGTTCTTCTATCTGTACCATAAGGATTTCCGGTGCTCCTTGACACAACAGCTCTACCCTTCTAAGTTTTCCTACATCAGTGGGAATACTGGCCATTGTTTAAACATGACTTTATTTTCAAAAAGCAGCACTAAAATAAAATCATACAGCATCAATATGATCTTCCTTCACTGTGTACAGATCAAGATAATTGTTTAGGTTTTTTTAAACAAACATCAACCCTTAAACCTCAACTCAGTAGGCAAAAAGCAAGTTTAATCCCTTTTGGGTCTAGTACAATTGTGACTGACCTGTAACAATACTTACATGTTGCAGCTGACCTGAGAGGTGCACAGTCATAAACATGTATTTATCTAAAGAGCTGAGTGTGCAATTGAAGGAGGGGTTTGTTTGTTTGGGTTTTTTTCTAAATAGCAACACTGGGTTATGTAATAATATTTCTTCAGAGTAACATTTTAAATATAGAAGATACCATAAATATGCCAGGCATCCAGTTCAATTTATAGCCCAGATTTGTTAAATGAGCCAGAGGAGGGGTTCCACTTCTAGACTGCCTGAAGAGGGTATTGATTTCTTACCTTTAGCAAATATATT